CCCCAAAACCCCAAAACCCCAAAACCCCAATTAAGATTATAACTTTTGAAGATAAAATATTTAAATACTAAATGGAATCCAAAGCAAAAGTATCTCTAAGCTTTGTCTGACTAGTATGCCAAGATATCTTCGATTCACCTTACACGCTGAAGACCTGTGGTCATTCCTTCTGTGAAAAATGCCTGATAAAGGTCCAGAAGTTCTCTATTCTTAAGCCAAACTATTCTCCGAACTATTTTAGGTGTCCTTTGTGCTCTCGAATTACAGATATACCAAGCGGAGACTTCAAACAAGACATTCCTTATGCTGAAGAGATAGAGCTAGCTATCAGGGAATGGAGAGAAAAGGAGTTCAAACTTGACGAGAAATATTCTGTTGCTGACATATGTAAAAACCATCTCAAAATCCTTGAAAAGTTTTGTCTTGATGATAATCATTTCATTTGCTGGATGTGACATAATTTCAACTACTCAGATGAGCACAGGGGGCATAAAGTAGTTGGACTTCCTGAAGCCTATCAAATTATAAAGAAGCAATCCATCGCTAACCTAGATCTTTTGGAAAGAATGAAGAGAATTGTTGATGATAGGATCAAATATGCATCCAATTGAAGACATATCATTGAAGCTGATTGAAACAATGCAAAGATTTCTCTCAACGAATACATTGACAAAATCATCAGTGATCTGAACGCTCTCAGAGAGAGAAAGATACAGGAGCTTGATGAAGAACATACTGAGAGAGATGCCTACATGCTAGAAAACATTGAGTCCCTCGAAGCTCTTTCTGACGAAGTCCAAAATTTGTTGAGGGACACCCCTGAGACCCTTCACGGAGTGTTAAAATAAATATAAATCAACGACTGGGTTCATCAAAACTCTCACTAATAGCATTATTTTTCCCACTCAGACTGATGTAAACATCAAACTTGAAATACCAAAGTATGAGAAGATCAAAAGAATTATTACTGAATGTGAAACAGCAATGACTGTCTCCTCAGTAGGGCTTCCTGAAAATGTGATTAAACTCATAAACCCTCTTATTGGTTCCAAAATTATCCCAGAAAAAGAGCAGACAGATATGATCCTGAACGTACTCCCTAATTTCAAATCCGCAGAGCTTGCTTACAGACTGTCTGATGATAAATTTCTAGGTCAGCATTTCAGAAACAGGGTGTATAACAAAGGCCCAACCTTGACAATCATCAGTGCGAACAAGGGGCATATCTTTGGTGGATATAGTCCTATCTCCTGGACAGAAGGAACTGATAACAACTGGAGAACATCTGACGATAGTTTCATATTCACTTTAACAGATAACCAAGGAAGGCAACCTGAGAAGATATTCCTGGAGAAGAACAGGCAATCAACTGCTCTTTTCCACTCCAGAATCAGCTACGCGTTTGGAAGTGGCCATGATTTGAGTATTAATCTTATCGACCTGAAGAGATGAGAGTCAGCGTTATTCTCCTATGCCATGCCGAAATCATCAACGACTGATGCCAATAAGTTCTTAGCGGGAAGAAGGGATAAATGGGATGTAGATGAACTAGAAGTATGCTAAAATTAGACCTTCGAGCTTAATCAAATTTTGTTAAAATATTTCCTCTCTTGGTCACCACTAAACTTTTGAAAATTTTTATGAAAAACTTGGAATTTTAGATACAATTTTGGTTAGTTTAATATAAGAAAATAGGTATTTTTGATCGACAAGCCAATAAACCAGAGTAGATATGAGAGCATGCAGAATTCTCTCCACTATATTGCTAAGAAAGCAATGGTGGAAGATGGTCTTCTGTCCAAAGAAGACGCAAAAGCAGGCTTCTTTGATTTTAGGAAGGAAGAAGAAAAGCAAGATCAACAAAAAGAAGAGGAGAAGAAAGAAAAAGTTGTTAAAAGCTATCACAATGAAGAAAAGTTTGATGCTGAATTACCTGAAGAGCAAGACTCAATTTTAGACCACTCATTCCTTTACAAAGATCTTATAAAGGATGAACATTTAATGACTAAGCAAGAAGTCATTGAGCGAGACAGGGAGGAACACCAACAGAAAAGCACTTTCCTCCAAAGTGAGCTCTAATCTGCTGTCATTTAGAATGACAAATTTCTTAAATAATTTGTGAGAATGCTTGGTTTCTTTAGTCAATCATCTAAAAATTATTTCTAATTTTTGTAAGCTGGTTTGACTTGGATAAATATCCTTTTTCCAATATCTTATTATATATCCTATTTTAGAGCCAAAAATCATATTCAATTACCTAATGTTGATCCGGGGTTTTGGGGTTTTGGGGTTTTGGGG